ATATATCTTTAGAAATTAAATTAATTAAATAAGCAATACAATAAATATTAAGGATATTATTATATTTTTCAGTAATTATTTTATGTGCATTTTAAATGTTTAGTCTTGCATTTGATACTACTGCTAAGAATTTTTCAGATCTAAATTTGTTCAATAATTTTATTTATTTCTTTTGCTAAAAAAATATCAGTATGACTTTCATCTGATAAGTTTTTTAAACATCCAAATATTCTTTATGAGTAGATATATAAATGAAAAAATTTTAAATTAATTCATTTGCTATATTAGTCCACTCATCACATGCTTTTAATTTAAATAAAAATTGTGAAAAAGAAAAAAGGAGAAAGGAAAAAAAAGGAAAAAAGTGAAAAATTATATTAATTTATATTATTAATTAATTAATTAAAAATAATAATTTTTATTACTTACATAATGTTAAATTTGAGTTTTTTAACTTCTTAATGATTTTATTATTCACAACTGCTGTTTCTTATGTAAGAAGCTATCTAAAAAGTATTTCTTTAGAAGGAGGTGTATATTCTAAACATAATATTTTTAAAAATTCTATAAAAAATGAGTTTTTAATAACATGTCAGGGTATATTACATATAACAAAAACTTTTACACAAGTTATTTCTTAAATATAATAGTTTTATCATTTCTTAAGTATAATAGTATTATCATTTCTTAAGTATAATAGTATTATTATTCCTTAAGAATAATAATTTTATTATTACTAAAAAAAAATATTTTTATTATTTCTAAGATATAATAGTTTATCATATCTAAGAAATAATTGTATTATTATTTCTAAAGTATTATAGTTTTATCATTCTTAAGAAATAATGTATTTATTATTTCTTAGATATAATATATTTATTATACTTAAGGAATAATAGTATTATCTTTCCTAAGATATGATAGTTTTATCATTTCTTAGGTATTATAATTTTATAATATCTAAAGTATAATATTATATAATAGTTTTATAATTTTTTTTTAGGTATAATGGTATTATTATTTCTTAAATACAATTATTTTATTATTTCTAAGAAATGATACATTTATCATTTCTTAGATACGATAATATTATTATTCTTAAGTATAATAGTTTTATTATATTTTAGATACAATAATTTTATTGTTTCTAAGAAATAATAGTTTTATCATGATGATTTTATCATTCCTTATATACAATAGTTTTATCATTCCTAAGGAATAATGCATTTATCATTTCTTAGGTACAATGATTTATCATTTTTAAAGAATAATAGTTTTATCATTTTTAAGGAATAATAGTTTTATCATTTCTAAGGAATGATGGTTTTATTATATCTAAGAAATGATGGTTTTATTATATTAAAGAACAATATTATTATTATTTCTAAAGAATAATAGTTTTATCATTTCAATAAACTAAACTTTCAGATTAAACTAATTTACTAAAATAATATTAAATATTCAAAGAACTTATCAAATTTAAATAACTATTTTATTAATATTAATTTAATATACTATTTGAGTTTATTTCTAGTATATATAGAAATATTTATATAAATAAGCTTAATTTTTTCACTTTTTAAAAAATAATTTCAACTTAATTTTTATCTTTTTACAATTATTTTCAAATTTTCTCTTTTTACATGCTACCAAATACCAAAAAAAATTATTTTAAGAACAAGTTGAATTTGTCAATTAAACAGTCAACTTTTTAAATAATAAACTGATTTTTTTACCTTTTATAATAGAAAAATGCTTTTAACTATTAAAATTAGATAACTTAAGTTGAATTTTATCAATCAGCCAGTCAACTTTTTAAAAATAAACTGATTTTTTTACTTTTATAATAGAAAAAAAATAATTTCAAGTGATTTATGAGAAAGGATAGATTTTTTATTTTTTATTATTTTATTTATTATTTTTTATATTTTAGATGATTTTGAAGGATTTTTTAAAGAAAATAAATTATATTTCTATTATTTTATTCTTTTTTTTAAAAAAATGATAATATTATAATAATAAATATTTAAGATAATTTAAAGAGATTTTAGGAAGAAAAGGAATATATTTTATTATTTTATATAGTTTTCTATTTTTTTACTTATATTTTTAAATAGAAAATTAATCAATAGATTTTAATAATATTTTTTTATATTTTTGCGAATTATATTAGATTTTTATTATTAATAAAATTTTAATATTTAATAAATTTAAATAAATAAAATATATCAATTTTATATACTTATTTAACTGAATTAATACCAAATTGAAGCTAATATTAGGCTAATTTATGATTGTTTAAGTTTTTAATTAATGTAAAATTGAGGCTAATTTTAGGCTAATTTATGATTATTTTAAGTTTTGAATTGATGCCAATTTTAGGCTAATTTATAGTTATTTAAGTTCTGAATTGATGCTAAATTAATGCTAAATTAAGGTCAATTTTAGGCTGATTTATGATTGAATTTAAATTCTGAATTGATATGAATGATTATATTTGATTGAAATTAATTGACATCTATTAATACATATTTGTATTGATTGAAAAACATAATAAATTGACTGTAAATAATATTAAAATCAGTTTAAAATCAGTCATTTAATTTCTAGCTGATTTGAACTATTTTAATTAGTGTTAAGGAATATAAAATAAACATATAGTATATAAAATATAACTGTTTTTTAAACTTAAATTTTCAATTTTAAAATTATTTTTTATAATATTAAACTAATAATAAAATAAAATAATTAAATTTTTTATTCTTTTTCTTAATATTATCACTCTATTTTCACATTTATCATTTTTTTTTGAAATAAATGTTATTATTACTACAGATTATAGATGAAGGACGAAACCCCTTAATAACAGTTAAAACTTAGATAAAACTATATTAAAATCATAATAAGAGATACGAAGAAATCCATTCGATATGACGAAAGCTGAAACTGTCAAAACTATATTAAAAATATAGAAAAGGGTATGACAAAATTATTTTGAGAAGGTTTCGGCAGGTATCTATATTACAAATACTATAATATGAAAACTTATTTTTATTATTTTATTAATAATATCTAAACTTTTGCATTTATTATAAATTATCTGTTTTTTTTAATTTATGATATATAAGATTATAAATCATTTATAAAAACTCTTTGTTTGTGCTGTTTATCTTTATTATAATTAATATTATCTGTTTTATTATTTTATTATTTCAGTAATATAACTATTATAAGATTACATATATTATAAAATATTATATCACAAGTGTAAAATATTATAAACTCTTGTAATATTATCTATTTTTTTAAAAAGCTTTTTTATATTAAATAAAAAATATGATTTCTTATATTTAATATAATTTATAATAATATTATATTTTTTATATATATAATGTAAAAAGACAAAATAGTATAGTATATTTTTATAATTATTATTTTGTTTTTACTTTAACTCTTTTAATGAAAATTAAAATTTTTTCATTATTTGTATATTGTATAATTTTTTAAATAAATTATAATGTAAATTTTTTTTTAATTCTAAATCTAAAAAATAATATAAATATTTGTAATAAAAAAAGAAGAAAACTACCAAAAAAAAATTTTTTTTTATTTTATAAGTTAAATATTATTTTTTGATAAAATAAATTCAGATTTAACATTAATTCAAAAAAAAATTTTTTGGTAAATTTCTTATTTTACTGTAAAGAGTTTTATAGCTATTCTAAATCTTTTAATGATAATAAAAAGGATAACAAATAGTATAGATTAATTTATTATATTATTTAATTATTATAATTTGTAATAATGCTTTAAAAATTTTTACATATGTATTTATAAAAAGATAAGTTAATCAAGCTTTTTTTACAGTCAATTAAATTAATTAGCATTTTATTACTCTTTATTTTATATGCTTTATTATACATCTTCATATATAAAATTTTTATTTATAAATTGAATTATTTTTCAAAATTTTTTATTTTCTTTTGTTAAATATTTAATAGGTTTATTTTTGAGATTGATAATTAAATATATTACAAATTAAATAAATTAGAGTTTAAAAATTTTCAATTAAATCTTTCTTTAATTTAGAATTCTTTTAGTAATTTTACAGATTTCATTTATTATACTACATTTATTTAATAAATTTTTAGATTGATTATTTATCTTAGATTATATTAAACTAATATTTTGTAATTTCAGATTCAGAAATAATATAATATACTTAACAGGATTCTTTTCATAAATATTATAATAAACTTTGAATTTAATTATAAAATAATTAAGGTTTAATGCAAAGAAAGATAAATATATGAAAGTTAAACACAAGTATATATGCAATGATGATTTGGATTTAACATCTATATAGAAATATAACATAAGCTTATTAATGGAAATTTCATCAAAAAGTATATGATAAAGTTCTGTTATTGATTTTGATATATTATATTTCATTATTATATTATAAAAATTCATAGCAAATTCTTTCTCATAAATTTTTCTTATATAAAATATAGAATTTATATTGCATATAAAGTTTCTAAATAAAACCTAACTTTGCAAGTTATCTAAGAGTAAAGGTAAAATTTAGTAAATTATATTAAAACCTTATAAAATCCGCGAATCTAAAGGTTTAAACGTTTTGTCAGATCCAAATGGCAACTTAAATTGTATAAGTTAAATATTTAATCATTGAACTTATAAGTATTAATTAATTAACTTTATCAGTTACTAATTAATAATTTGACCTAGCCCAATATACAAAAATTATTCAGAATTAGAAGATAATTATTACTATGATTGATAAATTTATACCTGATCTTAATTTATGAAGGTATTAGTAAATTAGTAAAACTTATAATATTACATCATGTGTCTGCACAGAAGGGTTCTAAATCATGTATAAATGTATGATCCATAGAAAAACAAAATTTATTTTTGTGTATCGATCACTACAAAAATCATCATAAAAATATTTCAAACAACGAGAAAATTTTCTGAAAATGACAGCAGACAATTTGATTTTCCCACCTTATGTTGAGGATCTCGAACCTCGAAACTTTATGGAAGAAGATTGGGTAGAAGCAATTAATGTTTGGAACGCAAATCTATCGTTACTTCTCCGGCTCCAAGATAAAATGTTTCAAAAACAAATGTTACAGAATAATTCTCTTCAAAAGTTTCTTGAAACATTCCTTGGAACTCATGCTAGATCCCGTGATGTTAAAAACGTTGAATTTCGTAATAAAGAATTAGAAAAGAAAGTATTGAATGTTTTGCTGCGCGTTTCAGAATCAAAAATTTCATCAAATATGTCCAGAAATTCAAAATCTTTAATGGGGGAACTTTATCGTAAAAATTGGATCTCCGTACCATTTTTACTTGATTTAGTTGCAACTTATGGAAAATCCAATTTTACTTGTACCAAGAAAATTATGGACAATATAATGGATTCGGTTCCGGAATTGACGAAGGATTTCGAATCCCATTCAATTACTCTGTACAATTATATTAAGGCAATTCAAAATAAGTTTAAAGAATTCAGCGAGAAAGATTGCAAGAGTGAGAATGTTAATAATGATTCAATAATATCAGATGCAAAGATTTATTTGAGTTATATTTTAGACATATCTATCACTTTAGATTGTTTGTTTACAGTTTCTAAATCTATAGCATACATATTTAGCAGTAACGAATATTCAGACGAAGAAGATTTTTTAGTGACAATAAAAATATTTTATGATGACATAGTACCATCAATATTAAATATATTTATTTCTGGAAATGAATCACAAGAAATATTTCGTGATTTTAACATATTAAAACATGCTCTAATATCATTAGTATATCATATTTTCGACGCATATTTTTTCAGCCCTTTAGGATTTACATCCAGTGAAGATGATATTTATTCATTTACAAAATCTGATGAAAATTTGGGAGACTTGAATGAAACTTTAAATAGGATGGTTAGTGGATTGATGTGGATGATTGAACTTTCACCATTAGAGAAGCCCGTACAATATCTTATTGATGCTCCTTTACTTTTGGATGTGGAAATCGAATTCGATTTAAGTGGAAAATTAACCAAAATAAAAAACGAAATTTGTGTATATCCTTTTATATATATTTTTAGATCTCTCTCTCTTTTATATGATACGTGAAATTATCTATTATAGTGTTCCTTAATTTTTTCACACTGAAGATGCTGAAATTGATTATATAATTATGTCTTTGGAATCTATGCAAAATATGAATCAAGAAACTGAAAAGGCACCGTGGCGTATGCGATTAGATCAAAAGCAAAAGCGATATGCGTCGCGTGTATCCAATGGTTTTAATGGACAAAAAGCCAATATTGCTGATTTTAATATCAAGGTAGAATAATTATATTTATCGTTCGTAAAAGATTACTTTAACAACAACTCATGTCTCTTCATTGTCCTATTTAGTCTAATGGCATCAATGAGGATGCAATATCACAAGTACAAGAAATGTTCCCTGATTTGGGTGAAGGTTTTATTGAGAAATGTTTGATTACATTTGATAATAATGTAGAAACTGTCATAGATCGATTATTGTCAATGTCACTTCCAGAACATCTAGAATCGTTGGACCGTAAGATGGCGCGGTATGTATGCTTTTAAATGAGATTTAAGCTTTGGCGGAACCTTATAACTGTGAAATCTTTTTTTTTTACGCGTCATTTTTTTATTTTAGTCAGAAAACGGTTGAATATCAAAATGGTTCGATCGGTTTTCCTTTCTAAAGTATTTGTGATTATTATTTTTTTATTAGACTTTTTTTTTTAATATATTCAAATTTCGATTATTAGTTGGTGATGATTTACTATCCCAACGAAAGAACATATTTGATAATGATGAATTCGATGTGTTTTCAGGAAAAACTCTTGAAGTATCTAGAATGCATAAAGGAAAGATGAAGTTAGTCATCCTACAGTTTATGTTGCAAATTCATTTTATTATCATGTTCCCCTTTTAATTTACTTTTTAATTCGAATTATTTGTTTCTCTTTTATTAAGACGTGGTACGGTTGATAAATTGTTGGATGATAAATCATTTGTTGAAACTCATAAAGAATCAATAATGGATGTAGCTTATAATATGATGTATGAGGATGAATATGATGATACTTATGATACTAGTGGTTTGAACATGCGTGGAATCGACCTTCGCATGGTTGACGAGCTGGACGACAGATCAGACACGAATTCACGTGATAAGACAGAGGTAAATTGGATCATATCTTGGACAAAACAAGTCACCCATTCCTTTGACCTAATTCCTTTTTCCTCATTTATTTAAAAAAGATTGATCCTGGTATTATGAACGAACAAGAACTTATCAAAATGTATCAATCAGATCCGTCAGTATTTGATAGGACGAGTACTGTAAGAAAGTCAGGTAAACGTGTTCATCTTAGGAGAATTACACAAATGACTGATGAACAAATAGAGGGATGGTATATCATGTTCCAGAGAAACGTAAATATCTTTAAAATTGGAATGACCTATTTTGAGTTGGGGTTTTTTTTTTAAAAAAAAATAATGATTTATGTTCATTTTTCTTTATTTCGTTTCTATAGCCAAGAAAAGAGAAATTACTCGCGAAATACGAGTGGAAAGGCAATCGTGAAGAACCTTTAAATGATTCTGGCGAAATTTCTTCTGGCACATCCCTTCAGCATGAAAATCATAATCAACATAGGGGTAGATATAATACGGGAAGGGGAAATAGAGGATACAACGGATTTAGAGGAGGTAGAGGTAATAGAGCTAGAGGAGGTAGAGGATGGAACAAGGGAGGTAGAGGAAGGGGCGGAGTGCATAATCATGTTACTGGCACAAATGATGCAAATGAAGCCAATGACGCGAATGGTGTCAATGATGAAAATGGTGCTCCTGGTGCTTACTCAACGCGCGGTAAAAGTTGGCCTAGAAAAAAACATGCTAATCACGATCGAAAGAATGCTTTTCAGAAGAAAATGGATCGAGGTTTTAAGTAAATTTATCTGAACATTCAACTTTATGAATTACAATTAACAAAGGTTTCGAGTACCTTTAAGACGCACAAAAGATCTTTTACATAATATTTCGCTTGAAAGATGGATCATACCAAAAAAAATTTTTTTATTATTACATTATAACAATTATATTTGTCATGATTAACAATAATTAAAAAACAATTGTTTATCGGAAATAAATTAATTCTAAAAGAATCACTTTTATTTTTATGTTCTAATTATCTATTGGTGGGAAAAGGAAATGTCCAAAGTCCAGCACACAAAAAAAAAAAAAAAATCTAAAAAAAAACTAAAAAAAAGAAAAAAGAAAAAAAATCACTATGTACACAAAAAAAAGGTGTAAAAAGTAAATTTCTCAAATTATTATCGTTATTAAAGTTTTAGATGTTACAAAAAAAATATATATATATTATTAAGGAAATTCTAAATCTGTTAGAGTCCCCCCCGATTCAAAAAAAAAAAAATAAAAATAAATAAAAAATATAATATCTAACCAATCCTTCCCAAAATCAAAAACAGGGATTTATAAAAATTTTAAGGTAAAAAAAAAAAAGTCCACCACTTGTTATACCAATTTGAATTCATCCGGTTCTACATAATATCTTAAATACCAAATTGTTATAGCCAGTATACCAGCTATCAAGAAGAACGAAAAAATTGACATTAATCGATTGTATCTTTTCCATCGAAAATCAGAGGTAGATTTTAAATGCCGAGGGTAAAAGGATCCAAACCACCAAAGTGGCGGAAATATAAATCCCATCGTAAACAAAACCGAACCAAATGGACATATATTAAAAGGCTCCCTTGAGTAATGAAATGCTCGTTGTGATAATGTATGAAAACTTGTCGTTGAAGGTAATTTAAATGAAAAACGAGAAGGTTTACTACGACTCGAAGGGGATTTTTGAGAATTGCTTTTCTTATTATTATAATCAGGCGTTCCAACGCCAGCTGCCGCAGAGGATTCCGACATGATTATGTCTGATTCATCTGTTCTATCTTGCAAAAGGGTATCCCTGTTACTGTCTGATGGAAGAGTATAATACGCGTAAGCCCAGGATGGTAATGAATCTGAGCCAGATGATGCCCGTGAAATCCTTTTACTATCCGAATCTTGAACCGGTAAATATCCATTATCCGTATTAGTTGTAATTGCTCTTTTCAATGGTGATAAAGGAATTATGACCTCTTTCGAATCAGAGAACATATTGTCCGAATTAGGATCATTTGAGTCCAATGAAGTCATTAGTGTTTTTGAAATCGAACCCTCAACTTTAGGTAATGATATTATTGACCTATCTTGCATGGATTCTTCTATCTTTAAAACCGGTAAAATTGGTGGTCCGGTCTCGCTAAACTCATAATTCCCTCTACTTTTTACCTATTAATTTTATTTGTTAAAAAGGAAAAAAAAAAATGAAAAATGAATTATTAAAATAAATGGTTAAAATCTTAATAATTATGGTAATTCATTAGTTTTACCAGGTTTTCTGCAACTTGATACTGCCAACTCCCTGGCTCGTAATGAGTTGGAAGATAAGTTGCAGAAGGAGGGTGAATTATTCGAAGTAAAGGGACCCGCCCCAAAATTGAGGCACTTTTTTTTAAAGGCACGGTGGATATATTTTTTTATGAAGTTTTAAATTGTGGTAAAATAATAATAACCGATATAAAACTTCAGAGGGGAATTCAAAAAAAAAAAAAAAAAACCTACGGGTTCCCGAGTACAGAATTATGGAATAATTTTTGAGGAGAGTGAAGGAACTCGCAGGTTTGTTTTTTTTTTGTACAAGGGAATACGTTAAGTTATAAATAAAGAAAGTTTAAAAGAATGGACCAGCCAGTATTAAATGAAAAGAGAGGTTATGTAGGTACGTTGTATGAGCTTTTTTTAATAGTGAGTACATAATTACTTTTGGAAATTTAATATGTCATTATTGTTTAAAGTGTAACACATCCCTGTCCATTTTTTTATGTTTCGAGACATATTAAATGACATACCGGTTATATGTTATTCAATTCATTGTTTGGGTTTTTTTTGTTGATTCAAAAATACCCAAATTTGAAGATTATTTAGATTATTTATGTTATCATGTTACACAAGATATTTGTTCATTATTAGTTAAAAAAAATTTTTAATTCATTTTTCAAACGTTTTATCAATCAACCTACAAAATGTCGATTGGTGTGCCTATCAAATTACTTCACGAAGCTCAAGGACATGTTGTGACCTTAGAATTAAATAATGGGACAGTTTACAGAGGAAAATTATCTGAAGGTAAAAAAAAAAAAATTATTTTAGTTTAGAAATAGATCCAACACAAAGATAACGTATCTATAAAAAAAAAAAAATTCTTAGCTGAGGATAATATGAACGTACAACTTCGTGAAATTACTGTTACAGCAAGGGATGGACGTGTGTCTCAATTAGATCAAGTTTATATCAGAGGTTCACACGTCAGATTCTTTATCGTACCAGATATGTTAAAGAATGCTCCAATGTTTAAGAAGATCGGTCCAAATGCTATGAAAGGTAGAGGCATAGGAATGGGTAGAGGTAAAGCCACCGTTGCTAGAGCTCAAGGTATGAATAATTTTTTGTAAAATTTTGTTTTAAACATGTTATATTGATAATTTATTTATTGATATAAAAAAAAAATTTTTTGTTTTAGCACGTGGAGGTAGAGCTAGAGCATTCCGTGGTGGACCTCGTGGCAATCGTGGACGTTCACAATAAATCCAAGATATATTAATTTGAAAATAAAATCTCATTAATTAGAAACATCCTAAATTTCTTTGAAATTTTTACAATATTTTAGCCTATATGGACATTTAAATAATAACATAATTCTAAACTTTGTTTTAAAAATTTCAAAAATTCTATAGCTGTCCTTGTTTTTTTTTTTTTTTTTGTTTGTTTTTTCTTTTATTATAATTAAGTTCAAAGTTGCAAATTTGAAGGTAAGTTTGATGAGTCGAAGTAAATGTAATGTCTCATCTAAGGGTTTGTTAATTTTTTTTTTTTTCTCGTTTCTTCGATTCTTTTTCTTTCCGTGACTATGCACTCATTCAATTTGCTCAAGAAGATAGATTCAACGGCTTTTTGTTTTAATATAAAGGTCCGACTTGAAATAATATCTATTAAACCCTTTTTATATTGGTACACATTTATTTATTATTTTTATTGGTTTTCACCGAAAAGAAATACAATAATGATACAAGTGATAAATTAGGTAAAAGGAAGAAATCCTTTAAAAGGAAAAAGAAGACGATTTTAAGGTTTTAGCGTTACAGAATTAAAATATGAAATCATTTTAAAAGCGAAGGTGCTAAGTAATTATATTAATAAAATGTGGATAAAAATTTAACTCGATTCAATTGTTCATTTTTCGTTCGGCGAGATCAATACTAGCTAAGGTTTGACTAGCACGAGTTAATTGAATTACGTTAATTATTTGTTTTCCCGCACAAATAGGAAAAGATATGAAAGCAATCAATTTAATTGTAATATTAAACCATGGATCTATAATATTATAGAAGAAAGATGTTAGTCATTAACGAATCAAAGAAAGAAATGATTAAAAAAAAAAAAAAATAAAAAAAGGAAATTTAAATCTTCTTAAATAACTCGTTCCTATACCTTCATGATCAAATGATAAGAGATATAATGCAACAAAGAACAATTCGTTTAATGCACAAAAGATAAAAAGGACTCTCTGTAAAATATCGTTAGTATCATTGTTCGATTATAAAAAAAAAAAAAAAAAAAAAGAGGGTACTGTCACGCACATAAAAGACTTACATTATCAGAATAGTACGAGTGCAAAATAAAATTTGAAGACTTATCGATATGTTTATGGCTCGAAGAACCAGATGTCAATGAACTAAATACAAAATGGTTTAGATGATAAGATTTAAAAGAGGTCAAATCACGTGATGAAATTTCATTAGAAAATGTTATGACCTGTAGATGTGCATATAATGACTGCTAAGGTCCAAAGAAATCAATAATTGAAATAAAATTGTCCAAGAAGGATATTTAGTAGCAAGGAAACACAATAGGCAAGAAGTTGTTGATCTGTCAGTTACCATATCTAAAACCGCACCGAACTTACTACCTATATAAAATATCAAACATGTAAGCGATTAAAAAATTCAAAAAGAATCTTTGGTGAAACACGTACATTGTTGAAAATATCTAGCAGCATTGCCATCTACGGCATCCAACAGACATGAAATTATATAAAGGCCCATACATTTCCATGGTTGGTTTGGCATATAATAAAGTGAGATTATGGCAAGAATGACCCGAGTAAAGCCTATTTATCACATAAATATTAAATTTTTTAAGCCTGATTAAGAAATTATTAATGTAAAATAATATATTAAGAGTATGTTGGTAAAGATATAATAATAATGATAATCATCATAATAATAAAATTAAAATAAAATAAAAATAAAATAAAAAACTTTCTAAATAAACGGTTATAAAAGTAAATTAAGAGAGAATTATAAAAAGGATGGAAATTCTACAATCATATGTACCTATAATATTTGGAATAAATAAGAAAACATTCTCTTGAACTTTATGTGATGGTGGAGGTTGATTTCTATGTTGCTGTTTATTTTTATTGGCCATTTTTTTTTTTTGTACGAAAAATTGTGAAAATAATAACGTAAAAAGGTAAAATTGGACTTGACGAGTAATGTCCTCTTTACGAAATCGGGGAGATCTATCCAAGGAGCCCTCAATAGAAAATATTGGTTAAAAAGAATCACCACGCTAAAAAAAAAAAATCCAGATGTTACCTTTTATTAACAATGGGATGTTTACCGAACATCATTTCTTTGAATGGAACAATTACTATAATAAGGCAGCAAATTTAAATAATTAAATACGAAACTACTAAAATAAAAAGATCTAGTAGTTGTTTAATTTCAAATTTACACTGGACTAATTATTTTTTCTCATACATTCATTTTCTATTAAAAAAAAAAAGGCACATAATATGCGTCCGCTTTCATTATTTTTCATCTTACTTTTTATAGTTATATTACCGTCATTTTTCTATTTAAAATCCTCTATTCATACTCGTGAACAGATCACTCCCTTGCCCGAGATTAATCATGATGTTATAACAGGACCAGTCGTAATGCCCCAATTGGGGAATGCAACTATCAAGTATATATTTTTTATTTAGCGCGAAATAATTTTTTTTTTATTTCCAACTCTGCATTTATTTACTTATTTATTTATGTTTCAAAAGAGCCGAGCTTGGACGTAGCAGTTGGAAGGTATTAAGAAAAAAAAAAAAAAATAATTTATATTTTTTATTTTTTGGATTCGAATTAATTTTTTTTTATAATTAATTAGTTACTTCATACAATGATGGGACGATTTCCGGAGCAACCAACAACAGATGAAAAAGAAGCTCTTAAAAGCTTCATATATTTATTTAGTAGATTATATCCTTGCGGCGAATGGTAAATAACGTATGAATACGTATATTCTATTAATCAAACATCAGTCTAACCAGTTATCATCCTTATAGCGCAACGGAATTTCAATCCATCCTTGAGAAATATCCACCACAAGTATCTTCAAGAGTAGCAGCATCTCAATGGGCCTGCGCTGTCCATAATATCGTTAATCAAAGATTACAAAAAGAAATATTTGATTGTGGAACGGTTGCTGAAAAATATAAATGTGGTTGTGATGATGAAGGCATAACGGCATAAATAAAAAAAGTAATTTTCATTCATCTTATATTTTGTATCAAACACTAATAATAATAATATAATAAAACATTTTAATGAAGACTTAAATATGAGAGAAGCAAATTTTTTTTTAATGTTATCTACAAAGATGAGATTTTAATCACCTTTAGGTTAGTGTTTTATAATTTGCTAATGTTCGATCGTTTTTCAGTGTTTTCAATATCTTTTAATAATTTTTCAACGCTTTCTTGCCTTGAAAGCTGACCCTTGGCAAGTTCTTCCCAACCAACATTATGTATACTAAAAGCAACCTTAGCTACTTCAATACACATATTTGCACTTAAACCAATGACAATCCATTTATTCCAATTAAAACGATGAGATTTATATAAGGCATTCCTCCATGAAACATCAGATGACGCATGATATTCTTTTGATATGAATACTCTTAATGGAACGGTAAAACATTCCGATACTTCTGATGGATTTGGTATAGGTCTAAATGTTGGATTTGTTATCAATGCCACTACCGGTGTGACTAATAATACATTCGCTGAGCTATTTAAGAATCGATTAAAATTAAAGTGATCATTTTAAAAAAGACAGAAAAAAAAAAAAAAAATCTTTATTACTTACATAAATGGCTCTAAATGTGTTAAATATACCGCGTCACCTGACTTTAATCCTACCTCCTCCTCGGCTTCTCTAAACTATTTAAATTATGTTTAAATTAAATTAAAATAAAACGATTTACATATATAAAACTTACTGCAGTGGCAATTAAATTTTCGTCAATATTATCAACTTTACCTACAATAAAAAAATTTAATTAAAAATCCTTAGATACCGAGAACTTCCCAAACCCCCCCCCCCCCCCAAATATTAACCTCCCGGTAATGAGATTTCTCCGGCATGACTTGATAAATTAGGTGAACGTAATGTAAATAAAATTTCTAATTCTTCATTAATAATTAATGGCACCAATACTGCGGCTTTTTTTTCATATTTTGCGTTAAAATAATCATTCTTTGGTTTATAATCTCGAAGATTTTTTAAACACTCTTGTATCGAAGGTAATTTTAACATTATATAGAGAAAAAATATATATATGGACGATTAATTGGGGAGGCAATAAAATCCTTGGTCATTTGATCACGGGATATGCAGATTACGAACAAATCTAGGTAAAAGTAACTGTCACGTGATTGTTCAAATGAGTTCCACTTAAATTCGGGGTCTATTTTAAGGACACCAAGATTATATAAGAGGTCAACGATCAATATCAGAATTATTGAAATTAGCTGTACAATAACCGATTTACACGAAATAGTTTAGGTAAATACCGACATCTTTTTATTCTAGGGAAGCAAACATGTCCAAGAACGGCAGTTTTTCGCCAGTGAATGAAACTGTAGGTGTTGATGAAAGTGAGAACATTGCAATGGAGACGGATTTTGATTTGGATCGTTGGACCTAAATCGTAGTTACACACTCAAAGAGTTTGAAATGATAAACGAACAACTCAAATATTGTACCTTGGAAATCAATGGGATTTTCACCAATCTCTTCGAACTCGATAAATTTGGCAAACTCGTTCCCATACCACTGACACCATTTCGCTATAATGTAATTGTCACGGAGGTTACGAGTCAACTCGCAAAATTGGAACGTCTGGACTAGGCAGAAAGGCGCAGTGACCGGTTCGCAGGGAGGTTTTCATCTCGAAACGGGGGAGATTCGAACACCAAAAGTTGCATTTACGCCAGATTTTATCCGACGCAATCTGACTTATGAACAACTTAATACCTTCCATGGCAAACCGTTCAGTCCTACGTTTGTTGTGGAGGTCGATGACGTAGAAAATATCGATAGCGAGAAATTCAAACAGTTGGATGTCAAGTTTAAAGAATCTTATTTTGACCCACTCACGTCTATTCAGCTCGGTTGGCTGATCGATCCTTTCACTTTAAGATCTGGATCTACAAGCGAAACAAAGGTGGCAATGTTTTTCGTCGTTACTGTAATTGGAGTAATTTGGATGGTGACGACACTTTACCAGGTTTTACGTTGGAGGTATCGAGAATAGAAGAATTAGTACCAAGATGAGTTTTTTTTTTGTTCTATGCCATATATTCATTCATATAAATGTATTTCAAATACATAAATGATTAAATAAGAGACGTTGAGATTAGAGGTAGCATGGAAAAAAAATCATTTATACATAAACAATACATGGGCCAATCGCTTTAATAATAAATTTGGGTGTATGTTTCAACAAAATTCGAAGTTCCGGTTCATAGCGGTTATAACAGGGATAATATTGGCTCTAAAGTTCAAACTTATTATTTCAACCATCTTTGTACGAATCTTTTCGTTTAAGTTTCAATATTATGTTACAAAGTATTCGATGATAAAAAGGCTCATTATGGTAAACATGAGCAGGAATTATGTGAAGAACGGACCATTGAATTTATCTAAATTATGTATATTAAAGAAAAGTTAATTTACAATTTATCTGGCTTATCAAAAGAAGTCACAATTCCTAGGATGGTGATATTGAGCTGATATTTTTTATGTTAAGCTGAAAGAGAAGAAAAACATTAATAATAAATAAACTTATCTAACCTGAAATACCACGTGACGTGTATCAAGTAAATTTTGTGCGATAAAGTTTTGTGTCGTGTACTCGGTAGATTATTAAATTATTAAATTGAAATGCCCAACTAATTGAATTTCTAATAAACGTAGAATTAAAATTTTCTTTGAAAAAGAGATAAAAGTTTAAGGAAATTTTGGTGAATATGAACAATGAATTTACATGTTTCTTTTATGGTACACTTATATTCCCACAAATATTAAACCGTGTTTTAGAGAATGGAAGAAGCAACACGGAAAAACCTATTAATATCAAAGAAAGTGTTTCCGCGGTATTAAAGGTAATTTATTATCAAAATAAAAAGTTCTTGTTTTTTCGGTAATTAGTTCGTTCATCTCTTTTTAATCATATCATTAAGGGTTATAAACGACATAAAGTTATTGGAGCAGTTTATCCCGCTATTTTAAAGGGAGATGATTTAAAAGATGAGATAACTGGTGTTTTACTTGGAGGTTTATCATCGCAAGATATAGCTAGGTTAGATAACTTTGAGGGTTCTGTAAGTGTATATAATTTATTGTAGGTTGACCTATTTTCTTTTTTCATTTTAATATATCACATTAACTTCATTCGGTTCTTCAGCAATATGAGAAAAAGAAAGTACAAGTATATGTTGATAACAATCTTATAGAAGCAATGACTTACGTTTGGAAAGATTCTCCTACCTTGTTACATGATGAAGATTGGAACCCAAAAGATTTTGAAAAACAACTTTATAAATGGAACACTACTGAAGAAGTTTTGAATTTGTAATTATAATAATTCGAATTCGTGACGGGAAGTTTAAAAGATCGAATAAAAAAAATTAATTTATTTCTAACTCTGATATTAGGCGGGAATTTTATTATATATATTATTTCTTTTTTTTTCATAGTAAATTATGTGGAAATTATCCAGGTATTATATTAAAAGTAATAAAAAATTCCCTATAAACGAATTGGTGTTAATCTATCATTAAAATATCGTAAAAAAAAATTAATACAATCTTGGAATTTCTAATTATTCACTTTCCTAAAAATTATATCAGAATAAGATTCCATCCAAATGTTTACAGAAAATAAATATATGATATCTGAATATTTTGTTAGATATTTCATACTATTAGATAGAGGTATTAAGTAAGCCTAAACTAAGATCCTATATATACAGACATGCTTATTATATCATCAAATAGCCTGAGAATTGAATCCTAACATGAAACTTAAATATTATAATAGAAAAACAATACAAGATCAACTAACTGAAACTTATAAATATCTGCCTTTTAAATTATCATTATTTTTACTATTAGATACTAATTTTTATAGGCTTATCTTTTGCAAATAATATCACTTATTTATTACAAATCAGTCCTTATTAATCACAGATTCTAAATTTTATTAGTTCTATATAAGTAAATTTATCTATTATCAATACTTATTATTATATTAGTACAGTCAACTTTCTTTAAATGCACACATTATATATTTTCTCTTTAAATACACATTTTAATTCAATTTTAAGCATATAAAAATCATTTAAAGTTTTTTTTTTAAATGCATATTTTAAATTTTTTACTATAGTTTTAAAGAAGTACTTTTAAAGAAATTTAATTTTATAAAGATAGTAATTTTACATAATCTATATTATAGAAGTTATTAATAAACATATAAATAATCATTTTTTTTATAAAATTTAAATCTATTTAATATATATATTTTATAAAATTCATTTTTAAATTAAATTAGTATTATAAAAAATATATTAATTCTAATGATAATGATAAAATTTACTATATAATAATTATTTTTGATAAAATTTAATTTATTTTAAATAAATAATTTATTATGTATAAACCTTAATAAAAAAAAATATAACAAGTATTATAAAAAAAATTAATAATTAATTTAATAAAAATTTTTTATTTTTAAAAAAAAATTTAAAATATATTTATTTTATTATATAATTAATATTTGATATAATTTTCTTTTTCATTAATATATAAATTCAATCTATTTTAAAATAACAATTTGAATTAAAACTAATATGCTTATTTTTCAATACTACATAAAGAGATCTTTAGATTTTCTCATTATTATTAATGTAAAAACATATTTTATTTTATATGACTTACAGTATAGAAATTATTCTTATGTATATATTAATTTTAATAATCAAGATAACTATAAAATTACCTCCAATTTCTATCACAAATTTAAATTAAATATTTTTTTTTAGGTCAATCAAACTATATGATATTATTAAAAATATGACAATTCTGTTTATAAAGTCAAAAGTTATATATTATAAAATCTTTTAACGCTAACAATAATTTTACAATTATTTTAGGCTTGCTGTATATTGACCACTAAGAAGATATAATAATAAATCTAATAATATTGATAATTCTTCAAAATAAATTCTAAATAAATCATATATTAATACTTAAAATTCTCAATAAATAATAACAATTAATTACATATTTCTTCAAAAATTATTATAATATTAAAAGTGTTTAAATGATATTAAAAATAAATTTTTATTTTAACTGATAAGATTATTTATATCAAAATAAAATTTTAATATTATAAGTTAATCAAAAGATATTGACTATTATTTGTTTCAATTAAAATTAATTTACAAAATCATTTATATTAAAAATATTTATATTATAAAATAAAATTTGAAGATTATTTTACCTTAAAAATATTAAATGATTTTTTATCTAATTGATTAAAACTTTAAACATCTAGAACTAAAATTATCTTTTAAAAAAATTAATAATTTAAAATTTTATTTTATAGACTCTTAATTTGAAATCAAAAATTTATCCATTACTATTTAACAATTAATTCAAATATTTACTAACTCTTTTTAATAAATATATAATAAATTAATTTAAATATATGAATTTTTATAATAATATATAATTTTCATATATCTTTTTTTTTAAATATCATAAATAATTTAAACTTAACTTTATTGTACTTATAATATTAGAAATTATTCTTTAGATACTAAACTATAATATATTCTTTTTTTAATAATTTTAATCTTGGTTTAAGTGAAATATATTTGATTTTTTTATAATTTCATCATTTTAATAAAAATTCTCATAATAAATCTTTCAAATATTTCTTTTATTCATTAAATTATATATAGAATTATAAAGATTTTAGATATATAATTTATAATAATTTAAGTTACACATTTTTAACTAAAAAGCATTTTGATCATATAATCTTTCTTGACTTTTAATTTAAAAATAAATTCAAATTATATGTAATTTAAATATACTTATCTATGTTTTAAAATAAATTAATAAATATACTTATAAAAAGTTAGCAGCTTAACTTTTATATAATCTTAATAATAATTTTAATATCAATTTTAATAAAAAATATAAATTATAAATCCAAAAATAGCTGTAAACTTTCTTACATAATATTATTAATCTTAGTTTTATTTTTATTATTACTTCTTTTTAATTATCTTACTTGTTTACTTTCTGCTCATTTTTATTTGACTTAATTTTATATATTAATCATATTTATATCTCAATCAATCTCTAATATAACTTAATTCCTTTAATATATTAAATAATTCCTTATTTTTTTATTCATTTGATTATTATTTATTATTTATTACTCTCTACAAAAATAATTTTTTATTTATTTATCCTTTACATATTAAAAATAATATAAAACTACTATTAATGTGCAATCTTTTCAGATTACAATTGTTAGACGTAGTGTTAGAGAGTTGACTCTTTTATAGTCTATGTAATAATTTCAGTTAGTTCACAAGAATCTTAGCTAATTCGCTACCAGTTTATCAAGTTAAATCAAGTTTATTAGATGTGAGTGGCTTCAATCACAAGTTAAGAGTAATTACAGTAAGTTCAAGAAGAGTTTTAAATAAGAAATAAGAAATACTTTATTGAAATAAAAGAAATAATAAAATAATAATATATGAAAGAAATAAGAAAAGAAAATAAGAAACAGAGATATACAGAGTGAAGAGTAGCATTGCGCTATCTTTTATAAGAGAGAGGTTCTATATAGCCGTCAGTCTTATCTCTTCTAATTAACAAAAGAGGTTGTATTTATATCTATTCTATTATATATTTTGACATATCTAATATATTAATTATTAGTCTAGAGCGAAGCGAAGGACTATATAGGATCGTGTATGTCCAGTGTCCGCCCGCTTGTCCTGTGAGTCAATGCATGTGTTACATACCCAATTTCTCGATTAAAAAATATATTGTGTTTGTTATTTCATAATTAGTACATTCTATTATTGCTCAATTTCTCAATAAAGTTAGTGTTAAATAAAATAAAGTATTTCATTTTTTTTTTAAAAAAAAAATTATTTTTAATGTTTCGATTTCATTTTATTGTTTTTTTGTTGTTTTTTATTATAAGCATACACTGATATACGCATACAAAATTTGAATAAAATTATCCATATTCTATCAGCATATACTATATGTACTATCAATTTTCGCATACACTTTTTGCTACCCCTGAAAGTGATATTATTCATAATGTTATTTCTCCATTTGAGAAAGCAGTCGTTCTTCTTCAACCTTCCTTTCTTATAGCCTTCAACTGTTCTTGAAACGTTAAAGCCTTTCGAAAGTGAACTGCCTAAAGCAAAGATTATTGAGTGATCGTACTCTAGAAACTGCAACGAACGAAAGACCTGCTATGAACTCCTTGCTTCTGATATCTATTTTGGCTTTAGGTATAGTTAGCCCTTGACTTTTGTGAATTGTAATGGTTCACGAGAGGTATATGAGAACTTGTAAACATGAACATTGTGTCCCATCTTTACCTTCCTAAGTTCGCTTGATAGAAACGATAGGTACTACTTTGACACCTTCGGTATTGGAAATAGTAGGTCCTTCATATTTATTGAAGTTGATTAATACTGCTATGGGAAGAGAAGGTGGACCTTGTCTTTTAAATATTATATCCTGTATGGTTCCCATTGACCCGTTAACTAAACTGGCTTCTGTTCAAATATTTGTTGTTAGCATAACACATGCGCCTTTTGCCAACAATAGCTGTGCATCAAGTTCCTTTATCACATCTGAATTCGCTTTTTTGGCCTCCCGGCCTCTGGTATGTACTGCAAGAATCTTAGCTATTGGTCTGTTCAATGTTTTGAGTTTGTCCAAATTAACCCTATCAACATCCTCCCATATTGTTTGTATATGTATTGCTTCTGAGAATTCCTTTCACTCATTTATGCTTAGGTTATCTTCAAACTGTGTGGCAAGTATGGTCCAATCATTTAGAGTACATTTTCCATCCCGTAGTTGTATGAGGATATCTCTAAATATTTGTTGTTGTTCAGAATCTCCTGATTGCCTTTGAACGATGTTGAGTTTGTATGCCTCAGAAAATTGTTTGTATGATGCAGTACCATTGTTAGAAAATGTATCTTGTAAAAAATCAGTAGTGTACATAGGAAGATCAAGCACAGGTGGTAGCTGTCCGAAATCACCAAAAAAAATTATAGATCTACCACCGAATGGTTCATTTTTATTCTCAGGAAAAGCTTAACATAACTGCATATCGATTAAGGCAAGCATTCTTCTTTCAACTATACTTTTATCATCGATTATAATGTATTGCACTTTATCTAATTTTTCTTGTAATTGCTTTAGATGTTCACCATCAATATTGAACCGTTTTTTATCACTGATTATTGGGATAGAGAGTATTGAATGAATTGTCACACCATTAATATTGAATGCTGCTACC